CCTTGGAAAGTTGTTCGGGCCAACTCATCTATGGCCAAGGCAACTTTAACTTTGATGCTGCTGCTGTTGTTTTTGTTGTTATTGCTGCTGCTGATGATGATGGGAACAATGACAGAAAGAGTCATGTTTATGCAATGTCCAATATGTCCAATCGAGTCTTCAGCTTTTAGACCATCATGGCCTATGGGAAAGCCAAAGCAGCGACAATATTTTACAGTCTCTGTGATTTCCGGAGCGCAGCAAAATTCTACCTGACTGCCCAAAAAAAAATATAAAAAAAAATATTAATGAAAAAAAAAAAACTTTAGCAGTCTCTCTCTATCTCTCTCTTACTGAGTTTTTTTTTGTCGAAAGAAAAACAGGATCGCCTGCTAAACGGAACTGCTCTGCAACTTTTCAACAACATCTCGATGATGATGATAATAATGATCATCTCGTCTCTCTTAAGATGGTATCAAGTAACAGAGTAGCATGATCAATATGCAAGCAGCGGGCCTGTAAACGAGTTTTTGCTCATTTCGATACCCTTGCCTTGTATATTGGGTATTCAGAACGAAATTAGATTGCTCAATTTGAGAAAATTATATTCAAATCAGTTTATTTCAAGTTATTCTTATCAAATTAAAATCGAATCTAAATAAATAAATGTTCAAATCCAAACTGCATATTCTTGATCAGTATACAAAGTTTACAGTTTACACAATACCATTGTTAAATCTGACCATAGATCGTTGACGGATATCTGTCATTTCGGTCTTTTATAACTAGCCTCCTTTTCCGTTTTGAAAGATATTTTGAAGATGCAACGGTATTTGTCAACTTCAAGTGATTAATACAATAAACTCACAAAAATATAAAAAAAATTCAGGTCTTAAGGGTATTTAATGTGCGGCACTGCGAACAATTGTTTATCGTTGGCTTGTCTCCTTTTTGGTTTCGACCAACTGCTGCATTTTTGAAAATCGCTTATTTTTTTCGCTCGTATCTGCTTTCTTATGCTACCTCTCTCAATTCTCTGCTGCACGTATTTGTTTCAGATTTTACGCATCCGAAAATTAGCAGGCGATCCGTTTTTTTTAATGTACTTTTTTTTTTTGTTTTTGTATTTTTAATTAAGTCTTAAGTTACCAATCGCTCAAGTGCTGAGAAAGTTGGCCAAAAATTCGGCATCGATTAATTAATAAATGTGACAGCAAATGGACGATAAGTGCCCCCTTTGGCCGTGTCCCGTACCCCTAATCACCGCATGTGCATAATGTATAAGCATGTTGAGCCTGCGACTTGGGGTGTCAAAAAAGAGAATACAACATCAGCAAGACTTTCACACATTTCGACATTCATCGCCTGCAGACACTTCACGAATGTGCCGACAAATCAACAAATTAACTGAACGCGATGGCCTTAACACATTTACCACAGCTTTCAAATACTTACTTCACTTATGCCTCACTCATTTTGAGCTACTTCATTTAACGATAACCACACCAAATGTCAGCCTGTTTTCTCTTCTTATTGATGAATATGTAATGCAGAACTTATCTTAATTTTCCAACTCTTTTCGAGTTAAACTCTTACATACTTTTTGGCTGGGATTAGGATGGATGTTAAGTTTGATAAGTGAATCTGCAATGTGTTTTTTTCTACCAATTTTTCGACTCAGTTTCAACTTTATTATTCCAAGAATTCAACCTAAAACAATAAAACAAACGAACTTCTTAAATTATACATTGGTTCAAACCACAAACCACTGAAAATTTTGTGTTAGTCAGAAACCTTGATTTGCTTGAGTCGAGCATACAGTGAAACCAATAAGAAAAGACTGATTATTGAAAATTGGATGGCTTATACCACAAATAATGTTGGAAAATAATGTGATTATGTTGTGTGTTCGACAACACTGATAATAAAGACACTACCACCACCAGCAACAACTCCTTTTCAACGTCATGTTATTATTGATGACGCTCTTAGCTCTACTTCCTAAACTCGTTTCCTCTACACATATATCATATCATAATACCGCGTCCCCGTCGCAAGCACCACACTGCTTGTGTTGCTATATTGACTAACTTTTACATTTTGCATATTAGCTGCGCTCTCCATTAAGGCAGGCCCATTAAATGTCGCCACAAATTAGCGCTGCTAAACAAAAAAGAAATAGGGAGTTGCAAGGGGAAGGGCAAGAGCCATCAGCAGAGGAGCAAGAGCTTGGGAAAAACAAAGCTGCGACTCAACTTTCCCATTCAGTTTACACATACATATATTCGTTATTTGCAGGCTTATGTATATGTATTGACATTTAAGCAGACAATAACAACAATTTTCAATGCATTTCCATAATTTACACCCTGGCATTGAGCCGCGACCTGATCCAAGTACTCCTCTTATACCATGTACCCTGAAATCACTAAAACGCTTATAAGTAAAGCTGTAAAGATATGTATATACATATCATATCTTATTTATTTCCATACATTTCTGATCAGTACAAAAAGAGCCGGGTCAATAGGGACTTGAGGTCTGTCTCCATTAGAGATGTGATCGGAAGGGTTGGAGTTGCATGGAGTTGCAAATTCACATTTGAATAAAGACCAAAGACTGATTTAATATTGAGTAGTTTAGGTTATTGTGTTGTTTACTAATTTGATCTAGTTCAGAGCTGTTTGGCTGTCGTTCGTTTAATTTGGTGGGGGGTGAGGGATTCAACTGAGAGTTGAGATTCCAGCTGCAGCAGGCGGGGTCCATCCCTGCTCCCCTCTCACATATGTGGAGCCCAGGTGCTGTAACGGTTTTTTCAGCATCAGCAGCACCAACCACCTTTTTACACATTACTGAATTACCGCAACAAGAAGAGAGGAGGAAGAGGAAGTAGAAGAAGACGAAGAAGAAAAAGCGACAGCTGCTGTCAGCAGCAAGGCGAAAGGGACTCGGGAACTCAGTCGGCAGGAGTGCAACCCCTAAGCATATTGCACAGGCGCGTCCTTTTCACTGTTTGCACTCGGATCAAATTACGGATAAGGTCAAAGCGGGTGAACAACAACGACAGCAACAACCACAAACAGACACAGAAAGAGAGAGGGAGAGAACAAGACCAAGCTAAAGCATACATGCACACAGATAGATGTACGTGTGTGTGTGTATGTTATATTTACCTCTCTACCTAGGCTAAAAACAAGTTCTCGAGGAGTTCTCTTTTATGTGTACTGCTTGTATTTCTCGTTCTTGTTGTTGTTGTTTCAATGTCGCGCATTCTCGCTGTGCCTGCAGTTTTAGCCTGGTCTCTGTCTATGCCCCTGCCATGCATGAGTATTTCCTGTCTGCTTGCGTTGTTTGCTACTCTTCGCCGCTTTGCTCCACCACTGTTTTGACTACTCTCTCTCTCTCTCTCTCTCTCTCCCTCCCTCTCCTCACCATCCCTGTGCTGATCCTCTTGTCCTGTGCGTACCCTAAAATATAAATTCTTGACTTTTTCAGCTCTCTTGCAAAATGATTGGAAGTCACGCATATGCGAAGACCCCGTTAGATCTATCCTTAATTATATACAGCAGGCAGGCAAGCGGCATATGGAATACACAACGAATGCATATCATATATATCGAGCATAGAAAACAAAAATGTATCTTATTTAATGGGAAGGAGCGAAATTAGTTTATTCATATCGAAACTAGCATTTAATTTATATACAATTAAATAATTCAGTTACTTAATGACATAAATTGGTATTTTGTAGAAATTTGATTTTGAACAATTTTAGTGAATGATCAGAGATTCTTCTCAAAGACTTTCAGTGCGAACAAGATACTAGAGTAAAAATTGGATATTGTAACCCCTTCGAATATAGTGTTAGACAGCTCTATGGCTTTGTAATTCTATTTCCCAACTATCGTTTCTATTTGACAATTTTAGATTTGCGTCGGTTTAGGATGTTGCAAATTGTTACGGATTCAATCTAACTTATTGTACTATAACTTATGACTAATAAAAAGATCGGCTGAACAACAATATTTCCGATAGCAGTTCATTTCCTATATGTAATCCAATGGGTTCCAGATAAAAGAACGCGTTTTTTTTTAAATTCTCAGAAAGTTGAAAAATGTTAAGGCAATGTGAATACAGACTAACAACAACAACAACACATACACCTAAATACACACGCACATACAGATGCACATGCACACCACACACGTAAGGGACAAGAAACGGAGCCGAGAGACTGTTGACACAATGATTAGACAAGAGCCGAGCCCATATGCAAATACTTTTTTATTTTGTTTTTTTTTTGGTCTTTTGACCGGCTTAAGGTCTGCAAGACTCAAGCTCTTTTTCTCCGTCGCCTTGTTGTGTGTGTCTGTGTAAATAGTTGGGTACAAAAGTTTGACAAGTGATCCTAATTATTATTGGGCGAAGAGGCGGTGGGCTGGCGGTGCGGGAGGGTGACAACACACAGGAAGTTGACAAAAGAAATATGCGAGCGCATGTATAACAGTGTCAACTGGCATATGTGTATATACATATGTATGTATGTGTATACACAAGCAGTGGAACCAAATGGTATGAAACGAAAGGCTGCGACTGCCATTGTGAGTGGTCGGTTAAAGGTGCGCAGTAGAAAAGCAGACAGAAATCAGATCGGTACAGAAAGAGAGAGCGAGAGAGAGAGAGAGAGAGAGAGAGAGAGAGAGAGAGAGCACAGAGCACAGAGAGCGGGAGAGCAAAGCAAACTATGCGAGAGGGAGAGAGCGTGCGAGCGACCACCTGTCCGAACTGGCGAGCAGGCGAACTGGCAGGCAGGCAGGAGCGCGCAAAACAGCGAATAGCACGAATAACGTAACGAAAAGGAAGAGAGGAGACAAATAGAAAGGGAAACGAGTCAGAACACGAAAATGCAGACTCAATCAAAATGCATGCAAAAATATTGTGGTTTTATTTTTCTCATTATTCTTTGCTTTTTGTTTTTGACTTGTTATTTTGGGGAGTACTTTGCCAATCTTTACACTTACCCGTTGCATGGGCGCTGCTGAAAGTAGCTAGCGCCAGCAGCGGCAGCAGCAGCGCGACGCCCGCTAGCATTTCGTTAATCCAAATTGTGTGTGCGCGACAGCGACGTCTGCTGCGCTGCAACTGCATTGTAATCCAGTTTAAGATTTGCGCTTTATGCTTCTTTTCAGTTTCTATTTTTTCTCTCTGCTGCTGTTGTTGGTGTTGTTTTTGTTGCTGCTGTATGTGTAGTAATTTTCGTGTGCAGTTTTTGTTGTTGTTGTTGTCTCACTTTGACTGTGGTTTTTTTTTATTTAACTTATTTTTTTTTTCGTTTTTTGCTGTTTGTATTATTATGTGTTATGTATTTTGCAGCCAAGCAGCGGCGAGTAGAACAATTAAGTGCCGCGCGTTGCCGTTTGTTGTGTGCAGCGACGCTGACGCCGACGCGGACGACGGCGACATTTCCACGCGCAACCGCAACAAACTTTGAATTCAACGAGACCAAAGATAAATACAAAGACAGCAGCGCTTTGCTTCCTTCTCACACACGGGGACACGCACGGACACGCACAGACACATACACGCACACACTGACACGCGTTGTTGTTTCTTCTGTGCTTTTATTTTGGCTTTTTTCCTTTTCCTTTTCGCTTTGATTTATTTGATTTATTGCTCTCACACGCACACGAACACACAGGCACAGAGACACCAGGTGGGGTGGAACAACAAACAATAAAAAAAAAAAAACAATATTGAATATTTTTGGACTTGGACAACAATAGCGATAGCGATATTTATTTAATACGCCGCAGTCGCAGCATTCTGCAATTTTTGCATGCGGCGGCATTAAGCGCCATATTGTTGTTGCCTCTTCAAATTGCTCTCGTGCTTTTGTTGCAGTTGTTTTCGTCTCGTTTCGTTTTTTTTGCCTGCGTTGCGAGTTAAATTTGCGTTGCTTTTGCACTTAACACAGAGAGAGACCAACACACAGACACACACAAATACACAATTGAGAGGAGGCACTCAAAAAAAAAACAAAATAGCATTTAATTGAAATCCCATGCAATTGCAATTTTCAACTGCTGCAGACTGTCCGCCTCGATATCCGTTTCGTCTCACGACTCGCAACACTTTGAGCCGCGCTCACGAGCGCCGCTTGCTTGAACCCTCGAAAAAGACAGCGACAACGACCGGCTCTCTTGCGCTCTTGCCCTCTTTCGCTTACGCTCCACAGTGAGCGACGATCCATTGCAAACCGGACTGCAGCAGAGAGAGAGAGAGAGATAAACAGCGAGTAATTGAGAGTGATAGATTGGCTTGTACGCTCTCTGCTTGCCACTCGCCGCTCGCACAAGTCAGTAAGCAAATGTGCTGCCTGGAATCGAGGCTATTTTTATCTGTATCCATTTTTGTATCTAGAATCTGCCGCATGAATTTTCATATAAATTAAAGTAATTTTGTATTTATTTTTATGTTTTATTTTTTATAAAAATATTCATGTACATTTTATATAAATTATTAAAGACACACCCAACTCTCAGCATAAGCTTTGAAGTTAACGTGTTTTGCCAACTGAGCGAGTTGAACTCCATACTTGTGAGTGCTCCTTGCGAGAGTGCTGATCGCTCTCCACAATTTGTGCTCTCTCATCTACTGCGCCTGCGTTGCTGCTGGGCTGACTGGCTGGCTGGCTTGCATTTTTGTTGTTTTGCTGTTGCTGTTGCTGCTGTTGCTGCTGTGTCGTTATTGCTTTTCAATTTCAAAATGGCTGCAAAAATTAAATACTTGTTTTTTCTTTATTGCTCTGGCAACCGTCTTTCGTAGTCAGGTTGCTTTTGCCGACCGGCCGCCAGCCAGCAGAGCGACCATTGCCATCGATAAGTCGATAACATGTTGCGTCCTGCTTTAAAAGTGAAATCGCAAATCGTTCACATGGACGATCGATAAGTTTAGCTGATTTCCGGCGAAATCGGATTCTAAATTCAAGCAAATGTCAATAAATATCCCAAATATCATTAGAAACTGTAACCGTTAGACTGATTTCTTATATCAATGATGGATTAATAGCTTGAAGTCCTCAAGAGCAAGAATAATTGAATTGCATACTCCCCACCCAAGGGATATACATACATAGATATTTTATTTTTGGTTTCATTTTAGATTTTTATTTCAACTAATTTGAGTTTTTCTTTGACTTAAGTTTTAATTGAATTAATTTCCATATTACATTTAATTAATTTCACACTTTGCTTAGTTCTTTTTCTTCTTTTTCTTCTTCTTCTTCATATTCTTTGACGCCTCTGCGCTTGCTTCGTTCTCATCATTTGCTATTTGCTGTATTCTTGTTTTCATTTTGCACATGCTTTTCACATATAATGTATAATTATCATATTTACTTGGCTTAATAGGATTTTTCTTCTTTTTTCTTTTTATATTTATTTTTTATTACTTCGTATTCATTTTCTTTCCTTTATTTTTTTTTTTGCATTTAATTGATCTTTGAATTGAATCGTTCGTCATTTTACCAAAAAGTTTCGTTATCTTTTTGCTCGATTGGTATTTAAATGACTTTCGTATGAACTCACGTAAAAGCTCTGCAAATAGCACAAAAATCAATCAAATCAAATCATCTAGTTTACAAATGTCAACAGAAAACGTCTAAAGCGGTTTTTCATTCACTATTCATACATATGTACTCGTATATTAAAAAAAAAAAAAAAAATTGTAATTATATAATGTTGGCTTAAATGCACATGCACATTTAAGAACCCAACAAATTTCACAAGGAATCATAAGGCAGCATTTCGATTTAAAAATTTTACGCTTTCTGGCTTTACAATCGGTTCAGTTGTATTTGTTTTTTTTTTTTTTTGTTTTGTTTTATAATCGTTTTTTTTTAAATTCATTTTTGGTAGATCTTTCAAATGTGTTTTAAAAATTTTTCTAAGCTTTGTTCAACGTAATCGTTTCTAGTTTACGTTTTAAATGTTTTTTTTTTTATGTCTTATGATATATATTATATGTATTCTTTTACTAAGTAGACAAAAAAATGTTTCCAGTGTATTACACTTTCAGTTATGTGTAGCTATATATGTATAAGTATAATTATAATTTTTAATTAATTACATCTATGTAGTTAATTAAGTGAAGCGTTAAGTCAGCTGGCTTACATACACATACATATATATGCGCTATATATACGAACAATATACATACACCTAATATATATATATATATATATATATATATATATATACATATATAAATAAATATATTTATATTCTTATAAAATATGTTTAATTACTTTTATTACTTTTTTACACTCGAATACTTTGTAATTGATGTAAAGTTGTTTGTCTTAATAACTAAAATAAAGATGATTTCACATTGATGCTGTGCTTCTTATCTAACACCCCGATCAAGCTGGCCCTCGGAAAGCACATTTGTACATACATGCATACATACATACATACATACATACATACATACATGCATACTTCTGTACGTCAATACGTATATTTCATGCATATGTACATACATACTTTATGTACAAACATGTCAGTGTTGTTATGTTTTCTGTTTTTACGCGTGACAGTACGTGGGCGGCGCCCATTGTTAAGTTATACGTTTTAAAACAGATATATATTAGACCTATATAATTTGTATTTTTTCATATTTTGTTTCTTTGAAAATTAGCTAAAAACATATGTATGTGTATATAGGTGTGTTTTGTCTTTAAGTTAATGGGCCATATATATATATATGAAATAGTTGGTTAAAAAGTCGGCCAACCACTTGATCGGATACATTTGAATATATGCATAAATATCTTCTAGCATTCGCTTTAGTCCGTGTTGCATTTGTATTTAAGCATAAAAATTTAATAAATTTTGGCTTTGAAAATGTTTGCAGCTGCGGCGATTTTTTTTGTTTGTTTTACTTGAAACTAACTACAGGCATTTTTTTAAAGTTTATTTTGTTTTTAATTGAATTTTTTTTGTGATATATTTCTTCTGGGAAAAGTTTGCAAATCTTTGTTTTGTTTTCGTTCAGCTCGATGTTAATATTAACTTTTTAAGATGTGTGTTTCTTTGATACGTTCAGTTAATTGATAAATATGTATATGGTTTTTAATTTTGCTTTTGTTTTTCTTTTCTTTTCAGTTTTAGCGCTCGATTAAAACCCGAAGCCAACAATTAACTTATTTTAAAATTTTCACTAGATTTACATACATATATGTATATAGATTTACTGACTTCTTTCTCTTGTTTTTTTTTGCTTTCTTTTTTTTTTTTTTTTTTTTTTTTTTTTAGTTTTTCTTCTTTTTTTGTCTATCGAGTTTCGCCATAAAATAATTAACGCTATAAATCACAATACGGTTTTTTGTTTATATATGATCGAAATCATTTCGAAAAAAAAAAATTACATCCACACGCAGTTTTTTTTATATGTGTAGTTTCCTAGGATCTATAGTCTAGACATTAGACATTACGATTACGAATACAATTTGAATAAATATGCTAACACACATAATTTAGTTCCGGTTCCGGTTCCTGTTCCGGTTCTGGTTCCGGTGCAGCTGTTGCCAATTAGACGTGTGTGGCCAAAGGACCTTTCTGTGTGACGCCCTTGTTGTTTGTGGGCAGTATGAACTGCCCGGAGGGACTTTGGGCGCCCAATTGTGCCGCTGCCACACCTGCACCGGCGCCCACGCCCACGCCCACGCCCACGCCCACGCCCACGCCCACGCCCCCAGCACCACCGATGCCTATGGACGGCTGAGTGAGGGGCGTGGCCGCTAGCGTATTGCTGCTGGCCGTCAAATTGGAGCTGCTGCCGCTCACACTGCCCGGTCCCCCACTGACGCTGCCCCCCGCACCACCGGCTCCGCCAGCATGGGTGAGGCTGGCCGCTGCCCCATATCCGCCGGCACCGAAGTGCTTCAGCCCGCCATTACTGTGGGCATGCCGTGTCGAGTGGTAAGGGGGTGGGGCGGGCGTTGCCGCCGGATTGGCGGTGCTCGGCGGTGGCAGGGGTGGCAATATGGATGAATTGGTGCGCAAGTACGGATTGCCATAGATGGCACTGAAGCGACTGTCGATCCCATTCTGCAGCAGCGGTTGCCCTGATCACGAGAGAGAGAGAGGGAGATAAAAAGAGTTTGGAGAAGAGAAACGATTAAAAATTGCTTGATTTATTTATATATATTTTATTCAACTTGAAAAGCAAAAAATACTTTTCTATTAATGAACTCTAAAACTAGAAGTTATCTCTGGATTCTCAGTAAACTATCCAGCTAAAAAGGTAACACGAAAGAACACGTCAAAGATTACCCACTCGGGCAGACCGAACTCCACCAAATTTTACTATAAGTGTTAAAAGCCGAGCTAAAGTTCCTATGAAAGTTATATCACTCGATATTTTGTTAATTTCTGGTTTGGTTTGCATAACTTGGTAACCAGAAAAGTCGATCATCTTTTGCACGATCTTTCCCATGGGATATATAGAGTATATATACGAGTCTCAGCAATGGGTAAATCTGTTTTGGATATCTTGATAAACTAAAAAGTTTTACATCGAATAACTCATGCCTCGTCCGATTGTTGATATAGTTATATGATATGGTGATCTGATCCAGCGTACTCCAACTCTTACTTCCAAAGAAGCAGACAGACACGATAACATTATAATATTCTCTACTCTATGAAGAATATATATATATGTGCTTGATTCAAGTTGACAACGTTGCAAAGTTGAATGAGAAGAGTAAAACTCTTGACGATCTTAATTTAAGTTAATAACATACTAAATAGAAAACCAATAATTGGAATATCTCATTTCGACAAGGGTATTTTGACTTCGGCTTGTTCTTTCTTTCTGTCATACTCTGACCAGGCTGATCAGAGCCTGTTTTTTAGGGGATTAACTTACCCAGAAAACCGTTGGCTTGGGATGTCTGTGGCTTCTGCTGCTGCTGCTGCTGCTGTTTATGGCTGTGGTGGTGCAGCTCGTGGCGCTGATTGCGGGGCAGACTCGCCCCACTGCTGTGTGCCACGCCCACCGACTTGCCAGCAGCCGGCCCGTTGTTATGTGGCAACGTGGCTGAGTTGATACCAGCACCACCACCAGCACCACCAACACCACCACCGACATTGGCATTGGTATTAGCATTGGCACCCATAGAGGGTCCCTTTGGCTTGCCACTGTCACCGGGCAGACTGTAGTCGAGGACGTACTCAAAGTACGGAGCATAGCCATTGCTGGTGGTCTCCTTGTAGGCCTGCTCCTTGCTGTTGTGGTTCTTGGCGTTCTTCGTGTGGCAGGGGCGATTGTAGCGATCGCCGTAGTCGCCCGAGAAGCGCTCATCGAAGTTGACGGGTCCGGCAAGGGGCACGCCCAATGTGGCGCCCTTCATCTGCACATCCGGCATGGGTGTCTGGGTGAGATTGATGGCCAGGCCATCGCTGGCCGCCTCCGAATATTCCACATCGTAGGCCTTGGAGCGCAGTTCGCTCTTCAGCTCGTTGAGTTTGTCGCCGCCGCGAGACGCCTCCGGTATGACATCGGCGGGCATCGGTTTCTTTTTGCGTCGCCGCGTCGCATAGACGATGACCATCATCATGACCGTCAGTATGATGGCCACCAATATTGAGGAGCAGATGATGACCAGCATTACGGGCACACCGCTCGGCTCCAGCATCAACTCAATGACCAGCGAGTCTCCGCCATACGAATTAATCACCGTGCAATTGTATTGACCGAAATGCGTTGTGAGACTCTCCCGGATGATGAGGGCCGCCCGGACGCCCTCCGGCAGATGATGCTCCTCGAATATGTAGATGTCCGGATCGGCGCTGCTCATGTTGATCACCTTGCCCGCAAAGGACCAGAGGATAAGCTCCGCTTTCGGTATACTAAATGCCAGACAATCGATCTTTGTCCGTCTGCCGACGTCGCCGTATTGCACCTTGTGCGACGTGATAATTGGGGCACGCTTCACGTAGACCGTAGCCTCGGCCCCGATCTCCGGAAACCCACTGACCGTCGCCTTGCAGAAATAACGTCCAGCTGTTTCGGTGCTAACCTTTAGCTTCAGTTCCGGCCCGCGGCCAACAACCTAAGAGAAACAGGGAGCCAGAATGGGAGAGGGAGAGTGCGAGAGAGAGAGAGAGAGAGAGAGAGAAAAAAAGAGAGAGTTTGTTGAGTAGAGTGATAAATAAAATACAAGGCATCGATTTGCATATGGATTTGACCTGCTGTTGTTGCTATCGGTTATCGGTTATCGGGTTTTATGCTCATAGATAGATTACTAGGAACCTCCAATAAGGATTGGTATTTCTTCGATTGGTTGTTCTGTGATTACTTAGTGGCATCAGAGTATTTCGCAGACGGTTACGCCCTGCTGCAAAATTCGAGCTTGTTGCTTTTGTCGCTTACCTGGTCGGAGTTCTCATTGATCCATTCGATGTCGGGCGCGGGGTTGCCGCCCACCTCACAGCGCATGGTGACTGTGGCGCCGATGTCCGCCTCCTTGCTGGCAGGACGCTGGCGAAAGACGGGTCCAACTGCATGCGAAAAGAATCGATAACAATTAGTTATCGCAGTAACAGGTGCGAGCTGCCTCGAATTGTGGCACTTACAGCTTATGTCCAGGGTTTCGCTCTCCTCGCTCTTGCCGACGGCATTGCCCACCTCGCACTTGACAATCGCATCGTGATACTTTCGGGTCACATTGTGAATGATCTGTCAATCAATCAGAGGTTAAAGGAGGGGTTTACTTAGTGTCAGAGGTGAAAGGTCAGGGAAATAACGGTATAACCTGCAGTCAGATCAAGACAAGGGTTTAAGTTGAACTTGGAATTGATTTGATTGATTTGAGCACTTCACAGCTTGATTGCATCGCATTAGCTAACGGAGAGTAATCAGGTGCTTAATTTAAGATATTTGCCCATATTCCAGGAACGGATTTGTTTTCGAATGACTACAAAAATATGAGAAATAAACTTGAATTTAATCGGAAAACTACTCAAAGCAGAGCTCGACTCGAAAAATACACATTTATTAAAAAAAGAACTTGCATTTGAATTTTAAAGTCTGATAAAGAGACGGTCGGACCAACCTATATATCCTATATATATATATATAAGCATATATCTATATAACTTGTGATAAGTTAAGAAAAGTGTAAGCATCATGTCCAAAATACAATAAATTAATTTATATGAATGACGAAATAATTCTCAATGAAAATCACAAGTCTCTGTCTTAAAATAAGTTGCACTCAATTTAAATAATATTATAATAATAATAATATTAAATGGGGCATTTATGCTTTGAAAAAGGTTAAGCAAAATTATTAAAATATATTTAAAAGGTTATGGCAATTTAACTTAAACTCAAGCATTCAATACTAAAGATAAGTAAATATTAAAAGTTGGCATAATAGCTATGAAATACAGAATAATTTAATATAACATAAATGAAAACAAAAAAAATTAAATTCCTTAAATTGGACAATTTTTATATCCTGAACCCATTAAAAATGGGTAAAAAGGGTATAATGGTTTTGTACAAATGTATGTAACAGGCTGAAGGAAGCATCTCCGACCCCATAAAGTATATATATTCTTGATTAGGGTCAGCCAAGGCGCTATAGCAATGTCCGTCTGTCCGTCCGTCTGTCCGTCTGTATGAACACGCAGATCCCAGAGACTATAAGAACTAGAGACTTCAAATTTGGAATATAGGTTCTCGTATACCCGGCGCAGAACAAGTTTACTTTAGTTGCCTCCGCTTATCGATTATCGATACATTTAAGTTCCGATAGCAATAAATGCTACAATTTGAAAGGCAGAATGTTCTAATTAATACATATTATGCATATGCATATTATTGATCAACTGTCCGCGTTTCATCAAGATCGGGTGAGAAACACCCAAGTTATTCTCATATTGATCTCATTTGCATCACTTGCAGACCTGCTCACACTTTGGTGCAAGACTTTTAGTGGGCAATTTTGCAATGCAACTAGAATATATTTAACAACTGGGTCCAGGGTATATCGTAGTCGAGCTCACTCGACTACAGCATTCGTACTTGTTAAAATTGTTTTTTATTAAATTATTATTTGCATTTATCACTATAATTTCTTTTCTCACTTTTCTCAGTATTCCCTTTCAAAAAACTAGATATATTTTACAACTTTCATGTTTTTTTTTGGAAAATAATCGTGTTTTAAAACATGCTCAGATGATTCTCTTTTTGATGATTTCTCTTTCTCTTCATGTTGAGGAGTTTGAAGATGTCTCAACTTGATCAGCATAAAATGAGTTTCATTATTCTATTATTCTGACCGCCACTGTAGGTGTTTGTAGAGGGTGGGGTGGATGGGGTAATTCTTGAGAGGATTGCACTCACCAGTTTGGTTGTGAAGTCACCTTGCATCAGCTCATCGTTGATGAACCAGCGATAGTTGAGCTCGGGCGGATTAGCGTCCGCCTGGCAGCTGAGTATGACCTCGGCGCCCTCGGGAATGCGACCGGTGGCGGTGCTGGCGCCGCCCACCACAGAGACGGACACTTTGGGGGCGTACTTCACCTCGAGGAGGACCTTGGCGGAGCGGTAGGTGCGATCGGCGGTGTTTTGGGCCTGGCACGTGATCGTCGTGTTGTGGTAGCGCTTCTTGGGGGCCAGCTTCAGCACCGACTTGGTGGTGGTGCGACGCGAATCGGAGAGCGGCTCGAAGAAGCTCTCCGCCGTCAGCACGTTGCCGAGTCCATCGATCCAGGTGATTTCGGCGGCGGGCTTGCCGCCAGCCGAGACGCACTCGAGCTCAATTTCCCGATCCTCGGTGGTCACCAGAAAGTCACCCTGCAGTATTTTGGGTGACTCCGGCGGCACCAGCACCGTCAGAATGGCAAACCGGGAACGGATGCCAGGCTCCCCCTGTGGCCCCGGTCCCACCTGGCACTGGTATTTGGCATCGTCGTCCAGCATCAGCGGGTAGATGTCCAGCGAGAAGTCGCCCTCCTCGTCGCTGCCCACCATCGAGTATCTCTCGAAGCCGCTCAGATTGCGATGCTGGCCCAGCCCAAAGTCGTCCTTCGTCCACTGCAAGGCGCCCTTCTTCTGCATGACGCGACACGGCAGCGTCACCCGGGAACCGACCACGGCTGTCTGATCCTGCGGCTCCATGGCAAAGTGTTGCAAGGCCTCGTTGTGCCCCTTTGTGGATCCCTTGTTGCCACTGTTGTTGTTGTTGCTGTTGTTGTTGCTGTCATCGCTGCTGGCGTCGCTGCTGGCGTAATGCGTATTCTGATTGGACTTGTTTTTGTTCTTCGACTTGGCAACGCTGACGCGGGGCAGAATTAGTAGGAGCAGCAGCAGTGCCAGCGCCATCAGCCGGCAACTCGCCATCATCTTCAGCTTCATGCTAGTTTAGTCGTGCTGACTGAAAATAGACAAAAATTGATTAAATTGTTTGCAAAAGTTGCTGTTGCAATTTCGATTTTTGCAGTTGAAATTCAGTTTTTAAATATTGTATTCACAATTGATTGTGGTTCGTGTATTTGCTTAACGCACATAAGAGGAAAGCAGTGTGCTGCCAACTGCTTGTTGCCCGGCAGTAAACTGTACAAGCAGTATATAGTATGCACACAAACTACAAGCGCAATTGCACTGCTCACTGTTATATTGATCATTTCACACAGCAGCTGAATAAATAAACAAGCAGTGCACACGCTCTGCATCAAACAGCAAGCAGTGCAAGCACTGATCGTTTTCTGCTGATTAAAAATTAAGATTTCCCTTTCGTCTCTTCGCTCTTCCCTACTGCAACACTCGCTCTCTCTCTCTCTCTTTCTCCCACGCATTCTGTGCCAGCAAATGCAATTATAATTGCATTAAATATTTAATTGCATTCGAGCAAAACAAATAGCACAAAATACGAGGACAAAATGGAAGCCACAAAATAACATGCTAAATCCATTCGTTGCATATTTTTAGGCATCCCCGTTTGTGGGTCAAGTTTAGCCAAATGAAAAGACTGCGAGACAAAAAGAAGCGTGCAAATTGTGAAAAGCAACGACAAACACATACACATACACATACACAAACACAAACACATCTCTCTACAAATATCAATACAAGCAAACGCCGACTAAGCCAACAACACACATACGAAAAGGTTGACAGCAAAAAAATCACTGCACAAGCTTTGTTCTGCGACATGTGTCTGCGTGTGTGTGTGTGTTGGTGTGTGTGTATGTCAGCAATGCAATCAACTGCAGGTAGGCATAACTTTAACGGCAACTGTAACTGTAATTCTAACTGTAAATGGTAGGCCTCCCGTCGCTGCAGCTGTGAAATTGAAACATATTTCGAGCGCGCTTTCGCTTTTCGCCTCTCGCCTATTCTCCCAATGCGCAATGTAGGCAGCGATTTCTGTATATATGCATTCCCCCTCCCCCCACACAGACACATACACATACACACACACACACACACATGTGAGTGGCCTGACCTTGGCATTTGTGCTTTTTTATTTTGTGGCAAGGTAGTGCGAGGCAAGTATTTGTTTTTGTGCTTCCTTAACATTCTTGAAATGCTAATAAAGTGTCAGATATCGAAATAAGCCTCAACTAGGCGCACTTCGAATACCCTTGATTAAGTGCTTATAGGCGATATTAGTGCAAACAGTCATTCAGATGTTTCTTGAAAATATTTAATCATCTCCAAGAGATGAAATGAATAAATATTCAAATTGTCTATTCAAAAGAAGCTCTTCAAAGAAGGGCACAATCAAGTTGCATAGCAGCCAGTTGCAAGCAGCTACAAACCCACAAAGTATATATAATCTTGATCAAAATCAAGTGTCGAGTACAAATTTCAGATATAGCCGAAATGACTGTGGAATCGTTACTTGTTCTCGTTCTGAAAAACTCATTTCAATAAACTGAAAATTTTGTATTTAAAAAATTGCAGCTTGCAAAATTGAAATATCGAAAATGATGTCTAAAGTAGTCCGTTTACAGAAACATTTAGATTAACTCGGATCACAAAGTGGACTTCTACTCGGACGGGTTCCGGTTCATAGGGGGAAATGAAACGAAGCAAGACATTTCCGGCAATCGAGCTCGGCAGGGATAATAGGTCTAAATCAGATACGATTTAGGCCAGTACAATTCGTGGGGAAGCACAAAATCAGAATACTTAGCGGTCTCTTAACTGGGCACTAGACTTAGACAGACTTAGATTTAGACTTAGGCTTAGATTTAGACTTAGACGTCATCCAGCTAAACTATGTGTACTCAGTAGCGGAATCTGTCGATTTCTTCAGCTCGGAAGGCATGGGAACCCTGGAAAGGCGTAGAAAAATTGTTGAATTTGTGCAAGACTTGGGGTTGATGGGTTTATAGCTATATGCTTTTAAGGGGGCACAATAGATTTGGGTCTAGGTCACAGTGCATGAAGCTCTTCAATGGTAAATTTGAGAAAGGTTTCAGTTTCTGTGGCATATTTTGTTCAGGTGTGGTAATCCAATGTGGCACTCTGGAAACAAGGTTACTTTCCGCCATTATTTTCTATGGGTTGATGTGGTTGCCCCTTCCCCTTTCCCTTCCCCTTCCCCTTTCCATTTTCGTTCACACTGACGCCATATGTTGCACTGATGCTGCTACAACTGCTGTGGCTGTGGCTGCTGCTTCTGTTGCTGCTGCTGCTGCTGCTCCTGTTGTTGGCGTTAACTGACTCGTCTAACGGTAATGCTAACGATTTCATCAAGTTATCGCCTTTTCTCGCTGCGAAAGTCGCGCCCGCAACGCTTGCGAAGCGCGCTGCAGCACCTGAACACGCCCCACCCCCCGCACCCCCTCCCCCTACCATCCCCACAGCCATCATCCGCATGACGGACAAAAAACCCTACTCCTGACTGCTATCCTGCCTTAAATGCTTGCCCATTTTGGCCAAGGGCTTCGTTTCATTTTCGCTGCTTGCTGCTTGCTGCTTGCCACGCTGTGTTTTTGTGTTGTTTTTTTTCTTTTTTCTGCTGCCGGTTTTCTGTTGCGTTCTTTTTTTCGTACTCTATTTTTTGCTTGTTTACCTGGAACATGATTTACGGCGTTTGCACTTTGCCACGCGTGTGTGTGTTAGTGTGTGTTAGTGTGTGTTAGTGTTAGTGTGTGCGTGCTGGCCATGGAAACGGATCTGGGTCTGGGTCTGGGTGCGTGTACGACCGCGGCCAGGATATATGATAGTTAGCTAGTTGCTGTTGCTAGAGGGCAACCCCTAACCCCTAACTCCTGACCCCTAACCCCTAACCCGTAACCAGTAACCAGTAACCCCTGGCAGAGCCTTTACGCCCCTACGCCCGCATCGCACATTCCACATTATTCTCGTCTAAATTATTAAAAAATATAATAAAATTTTTATGAGCATTAAAAGCAGTCGTAGACAACCTGTGGCCAGGCAGTGTTTATGACCATTTCTGTTTTTTAATATTTATATGTTTGAGCATGTTTATTTTTTGTTTTGTTTTCTTTACTTTTCAGTTCGTTCTTTCCTTTTTTTTTTGTTTTTTTTTTTTGGTGATTTTGTTGGCTGGGTTTATCTGCTTTTAGTGGCTCCCCCCTCCCACTCTCTCTCTCTCTCTCTCTCTCTCTGTGTTTCTCTCTCTGACGCGCGCTTTAGGTGCTGTGTGGCAAAAAGTTGTTGTACAACAGGAAATGACTCGAAATGATTTTATACGCACATAACTTATGTTTCTAGCCATTGTAGATCTTTTGGTTAGTTAACTGAACTGGACTGGACTGGACTGGACTGGATTGGACTGGACTGGATTGGACTGGACTGAACCACTATATGGCCGCAATGGCTCAATGGCGCTATGGCTCAATGGACTTCCTCTCCCATTTCCCACTTTGTCCTTCCCCTCCCCCACCAGCAACGCCAATTGCCATTGCCATTTCTATTTCTATTTCTATTTCTATTTCCATTACCCATGCCTCTCTGCCGAAGCCAAGTTTCTGTTTGCGTGTCGGTCGCTCCATTTGGAATAGACTCTGTGTGGCTATTATATGTGTATTATTATTTTTGACTATAATATTGCATTTTGCATCCTGTTATGATTTCTATTGCACCTCTGGGAATCTGCTAGAGTTGCAAGTCATCCAATAATACAGCACAGAATTGCTTCTTGGAATCCCAATATATACATCTATATAAATCGTGTTCGAATGTTCTAGAATCGAACGTGGATGTGTCAAAATGTTCTAGTTCATAGTTGAATCTCCCTGAACTCCTTCTGCACACAAGACACAAGTATTCCTTTACTTCACATTAATATCAAAGTTGAATTATATCGTTCTTCAAATAAATTTCCATCTTCCAGTTGTTCCCCCTGACCAAGCCAGACTAAGCTTTTGTTAACTGAAATGATGATGATGATTATTGGGAAACTAGAGTTGTAGTTGTGACATTGTCGAGTTATGCCTGTAGTTCCAAATTTCAAGATATGCATTTGCCACAAAGAGAGAGAGAGAGAGAGAGAGAGAGAGAACGAGACTTTTTGATAATTGAGTTTGTGCCGCACATTTGGACGGATTTGCATTGGAAGTGGGTTGAAGCGAATTGAATCGTGTGAATCCAGTTGAATCCAGTTGAATCGAGTTGAATCCAGTTGAATCGAGTTGAATCGAGTTGAATCGAGTTGAATCCAGTTGAATCCAGTTGAATCGAGTTGAATTGAGTTGAATCGAGTTGAAATGAATTGAGCTGAATTGTGTCAATGATTGTCAATGTTTCAATTAACATTTGACATGCCAGCAGACCAGAGCACAAAGTTGCAGCTCCGCATTTTAAAGCACAGCTAGAATGGCACACACACTGACACACACACACCACACACACACACCATACACTCATGCATGCATACATTAACTGGCAACAGGACCTTTCTGCGCTTGGCTGATCCTTGGCCAAAGCTGCTGTTTATGATATGCAGGATTTTGTTATTAATATTCAATTAAAAGGCAATGCGAACCGACAATGCCCTCGCTGCCAGAGCGTGGGCGTGGGCATCGGCGTGCTGGCCTGCCACCCTCCCGCTTCCCCGTCCAACTACCTCAAAATATGAAGCAAAAGTTGCTCCTTTCTGCCCGACTCCCGCCGGCCGCCTCGAAGGAGTTTCCGTTTGGTTTTTTGCTCGTTTGTTAATTTCACAGCAGCCGCTGAAACTGGTTGATGAATTTATTGGGTCACGCCCAGACCCTCAAGCGGTCCCCTCCCACTCCACCTCCATCCTCCCCCCGCCCCCTCAACGCACGGCATCTTGTCAGCGTCATGTGGCAGGCGCCTCTAATTTATAGTCACAACAACAACAACAGCAAGAACAACATCCTTTCCTAGATTTGATTAGAATTTCTTGGGTTGCTTTTTGGGGAACAAAACAAAAAA